CCAACGCCCAACAGCCCCTTCTGCACAGAAATCCTTCCTCAGAGCCAGCCTGACCCTGCCCTGGGCAGCTTGAGGCCATTCCCTCGGGGCCTGGCGCTGGGGCCTTGGCTCCAGAGACTCATCCCCCCTCTCTGCCCCCTCCTGGCAGGGAGTTGCCGAGGGCCAGGAGGTCTCCCCTCAGCCTCCTCTTCTCCAGACTGAACCCCCCCAGTTCCCCCAGCCGCTCCCCAGCAGACCTGTGCTCCAGACCCTGCCCCAGCTCCGTTGCCCTTCTCTGGCCACACTCGAATAATCAACAGTCACAGCTCTCGGGCTTTGTCCCTTTTGTGTGTGTCTCTAATGTCAAGACCAGCATTTTATATCCTCCTTTTCCCTAGGAGGAGGCTTCTGCCTGGCTTTGATCATTGTTTTTGCTCCTGCAGGTGCTGGTCTCCACAGCCACGCTGGCCTGGGGTGTGAACCTCCCTGCTCACACCGTCATCATCAAGGGGACGCAGGTGTACAGCCCCGAGAAGGGACGCTGGACCGAGCTGGGTGCCCTGGACATCCTGCAGGTGAAGTTCTGCTAACAAAGATGCTGCCGAGACCCGGGGCAGGATTTTTCCTTTCCCGCTGAGGCCCATTTGAGGTCTGCTTTCATATTTTCTCAGTGCAGTTGCTCCCTGTTGTCTGCTGTCAAACTGTCTCGGTGTTCTGGGAACAGCCCTGTGGTGAGGGCAGAGGAGAAGTGGATCAGTAGGAGGACAAATGATTCCTCTCCCAATATCTTGCCCAGACACATCTGAGATACTTCTAGCTGGCAGGAGACACGTAACAGCAGACTGAGCAATCTGGCAGTAAAGCCTCAGGACATGGCAGCAAGGAGAAATTGCCAAGCTAAAAGCTTTTAGGTTTTGCTGATCTCACCTTCTTCTTTCTTAGATGCTGGGGCGTGCCGGGAGGCCTCAGTATGATACCAAAGGAGAGGGGATCCTCATCACATCCCACGGTGAGCTGCAGTATTACCTGTCCCTGCTCAACCAGCAGCTCCCCATTGAAAGTCAGATGGTGTCGAAGCTCCCGGACATGCTCAATGCAGAGACAGTGCTTGGCAACGTCCAGAATGCAAAGGTGAGGGCGAATCTTTCCCTTCCCCACGTGTGTGTGTGCCCTTTGTTGCCCCCAGAGAGCTGGTGGGAATTACAGGATGATCAGGGTTGGGGAAAAATGCTGTCGTTGTACGGGAGCAAAGGAACTTGGTGCCAGGGGAGCAGATTTTTAAGAGCTCTGGAAGCGCAGCCACGAGAACTGCCAGCCTGTAACGCTGGCTGGTGTGTCAGGCAAGTGGGTGGATGCTTCTGTAATTCAGAGCAGAGCGAGTTCTCCACATGGAGAAGGACACTGGGGAAAAGCCTGCATGCAGAGAGCGGGGTGGTTTTTTTGGTTTTTAACTCCTTAATATTTTTCTGATACCAGAGGAGAGTTGTGTATGGCCCTGCTGGGCTTCCAGGCTCTGTTTTAACGTTGATGGAGCTGGGCTCAGCCTGCTGTGCCCTACACTAGTGCTGGGAGCACGGGGCTCTGAGGCAGAGCCTCGCCCTCGCTCGCCGTGAGACGTGTTCGTCGGCTCTTACACCACATTGGTGTTTCCTCAAGGATGCAGTGAATTGGCTGGGCTACACCTACCTGTACATCCGAATGCTGCGCTCCCCCACTCTCTACGGGATATCCCACGATGATCTGAAGGGGGATCCGCTGCTGGACCAGCGCCGCCTGGATCTGGTTCACACCGCAGCCCTCATGTTGGACAAGAACAACCTGGTGAAGTACGACAAGAAGACGGGGAACTTCCAGGTGAGACAGGCCCTGGGAAAGGCTCCGTGACCGAGCAGAGCTGGGCAGGAGCATCCTCTGGCTGAGAAAGAGGATGCAAGAGGCACCTTACTGGTTAAATATGGATCCCAGGACACGCGGCTGCGTCGTTCAGACCTGCTGTTGTGCACGTCTGCGGTTCCAGGGAGCTGGTTGCCAGCATGGAGAGTGCTGGTGTAAAACCTGACCCTCAGTCTGTCAATGTTGTGGGTTTGCTGCTGCCTCCTAAGCAAATTCATGTTCCCGTTGCATTTTTGTTGCTTCGGAGGCAGTGAGATGAGCAAAGGGAGGCTGTGGTGTGTGGAATTGCGTGCCAGGTGAAGCAGCTTTCCGGAGTGACTTGTAGCCTGAGGGTTTGTGCTTAGTTTGTCTGGAGACGTCCCTGCTGCTGCAGCCTGGTTCCTGTTCAGCATCTCCTGTCTGTGCCCCGAACAGTTGGGGGTTGTTCTGCTGCTTCACACTGGCTCTTGTCCTTGTGGCAGGTCACAGAGCTGGGCCGCATCGCCAGCCACTACTACATTACCAATGAGACGATGCAGACTTACAATCAGCTCCTCAAACCCACTCTGAGTGAAATCGAGTTGTTTCGGGTTTTCTCGCTCTCCTCGGAGTTCAGGAACATCACCGTGAGGGAGGTACGGAGCCAGACACCCATCCCGAGCGAGACAGCCCCGAGGCATCAGTCTTGATGCTGCGGGGGAAGATGCAGAGCCTGCCCGGTGAGGGACTGTTCTCATCTCCCCTGCCTTGCTCTTCTGCAGGAGGAGAAGCTCGAGCTTCAGAAGTTGCTGGAGCGAGTTCCCATCCCGGTGAAGGAGAGCATAGAGGAGCCCAGTGCCAAGGTGAGCCCTGCCTGTGCCTTTGAGGGGACTCCTCTGCTCGTCTTGAGGAGAGCAGTGATCCTTGGGGAAAAAATGCTACTCGAGGGGGGGGGGGGCATTTCTGTTCTCTTCCCTCTGTGGGACATCGTGGACAGGGTCAGAGATGCTCAGAGAGCTGCGGGTGTTGCTTGTCTCTGAGCATGGGACAATCAGTCCCTGTTGATCGCTTCTGCCATGCCCCGTGTCAGAGCCCACAGGGATCGGGCGCTGGTGTGGAGGGTGCTGAGAGCCTCTTTGTTCTGCTTCCCCAGATCAATGTGCTCCTCCAGGCCTTCATCTCCCAGCTGAAGCTGGAAGGATTTGCTCTCATGGCAGACATGGTCTACGTTACCCAGGTGAGCGAGGAAACGTGGCTGGGGCCTCTCTTTCCATTTAGGTGTGTCCAGTCCAGCCACGTCTCAGTCTTACTCAACTACTTACACCTTGGAATTTTAGTTCGTGGTTATAAATTACTTCAAAAATAACTAGAGCTGTGTGTGGTGAGAAGGTCTAACCCCTCCCTGGAAGGGTTCAAGGCCAGGTTGGACGGGGCTTTGGGCAGCCTGGACTGGGGGAAGGTGGCCCTGCCCGGGGCAGGGGGATGGGAACTGGATGGTCTTTAAAAGGTCCCTTCCAACCCAAACCAGTCTGTTACCACGTGGCTGGGCTGGAAAACGGGTAGAAAGGAATGAAATGTTAAATGTGATGATGGCAGCCAAGCTCTGAGAGCTGCTCTCTGCTCCCCCAGTCTGCTGGGCGGCTGATGCGAGCCATCTTCGAGATCGTCCTGAACCGTGGCTGGGCCCAGCTCACCGACAAGACCCTTAACCTCTGCAAGATGATTGACAAACGGATGTAAGTGACATCTCGGAGATGTTTTCTGATTGCAGGCTGGATGAGGCTCCTCAGCGTAGCGTTGGGGCAGGAGAGTGCTTGTGCCTGTCGGGGCGTAAAGGAGCTGCCGTGTGTTTCTGGCCAAGGGCTGGTGTTTGGCAGCGTGGGGAAGGTGCTCTCAAGACTTCATCTCTTGGTTTTTTTTGCTTGTCTCACCCCACGGTGTCCTCGCAGGTGGCAGTCCATGTGCCCTTTGCGCCAGTTCAAGAAACTGCCTGAGGAAGTGGTGAAGAAAATCGAGAAGAAGAATTTCCCGTTTGAACGGCTCTATGACTTGAACCATAACGAAATAGGTACGGGGACGGGCAGATGCGGTGGGGAGAGGTGTCTGCCTGTTTTCCTCTGCCATGTTTTAACTCAGAAATAAGGGAGCTTGTTCCTCTCTAACTGAAGGGGCAGAACTGGGGAGGGTCATGGTACAGCCTGAGGAAGGCAGAGGCTTTTCCCTGACACCTTCCAGCTGCTTGGATCATAAATACTGTTCAGTTTGGGAGCTGTTGGTCACCCTGTTGTCCCTCTGTCCTGACAGCGGCACCTTTCTGTTGCAGGGGAACTGATCCGAATGCCCAAGATGGGTAAGACAATCCACAAATATGTTCATCTGTTTCCAAAACTGGAGCTTTCGGTCCACTTGCAGCCTATTACCCGCTCCACCCTGAAAGTAGAGCTCACCATTGCCCCCGACTTCCAGTGGGATGAAAAGGTGAGTTGTGCAGCTAAATATTACCAGGTTAAATCCCCTGCTAGGGCAGAATTGCAGGGAGAGGGCTGCTGTTCAGCTCCTGGAGATCTGGAAGGGGGAAATCCGGACTCTGATACAAAGGTAACAGCTGCCCTTGCTCAGGTACATGGTTCATCTGAAGCTTTCTGGATCCTGGTGGAAGATGTGGACAGCGAGGTGATCCTGCACCACGAGTACTTCCTGCTGAAAGCCAAGTACGCGCAGGACGAGCACCTCGTCACCTTCTTCGTGCCCGTGTTTGAGCCACTGCCCCCACAGTACTTCATCCGGGTGGTCTCTGACCGCTGGCTCTGTAAGTCTCTGGTTACACAGCAGCGGTTCCCTGGGGTCTGAGGGGGTAGTTCAGCCCCTCTCCTAGTGCTGTGCAGGGGGGAAAAAAGGCTTCTGACATCCAAGTGACAGCAGGGCTGGGGATCCCCTTGGCAGAGGGAGCTCAGAGATGAAATTGCTGGAGTGTTTTCGGAGATGAAAATGTTTTTTTTCCTGTGTCTGACAGCCTGTGAGACCCAGCTGCCCGTTTCCTTCCGCCACCTGATCCTCCCTGAGAAGTACCCTCCTCCGACCGAGCTGCTGGATCTGCAGCCGCTGCCCGTGTCGGCTCTGCGGAACAGCGCCTTCGAGAGCCTCTACCAGGACAAGTTCCCTTTCTTCAACCCTATCCAGACCCAGGGTGAGTTTTGCCTCTGACCCCCTCCTCCAAAAAACCACCTCTCAGCGAGCCTTGACCCTTTTGGCATTCTCCGTCCTTTAGCCTTGATTTTCGTGGGGTTTATTCACGTAACGCGAGGAACTTTCTGTAGCAAATTTATATCCCCTCTACCTCCTGGAGCCTTAGGGGTTTGATGGCTTGAAATCTTTCTCTGTGGGCCGGAGTATCTTTGATGCATTCCTCAAGGCCTGGGGCTGTCTGCCAGGTTTGCTCCTGGAAGCCGTGGCTCAGGTTCACGGAACCCGCTGGCCCCAAACCTCCCCGTCTGTGCTGCTTGTGGGGATGGAGCTGTGAGCAAACCAGAGCTGCCCTGTCCGTGCTTCTCCGCCTGGGCTTAGTCAGAGTTGAGAACTCACACTTAGGAGCTGTTACAACAGACTAGGGCCTGTTTTGCTCAGTGGATCCTGGGCTAAAACTCTTTAAACAGCCCTTAATGTAGCTCCTCCTGGATCCGGGTGGTGTTTTCCCTTCCCGTTTCTAGAACTTTGATAAAATCTATGGAGATTTTGCTAAACTGCTCTCTTCCATGTTGTCTGTCTGTCCCCAGTGTTTAACACTGTTTATAACAGTGACGACAACGTGTTTGTGGGTGCCCCCACGGGAAGTGGAAAGACCATTTGTGCTGAATTTGCCATCCTGAGGATGCTGCTGCAGAACTCGGAGGGACGCTGCGTGTACATCACTCCCATGGAGGCTCTGGCAGAGCAGGTAAGCCCGGCATCCTCGGGAGAACTGGAGCCTCAGATTTGTTTTCTCATCCCGTTTCACTTTCCTCATCCCTTCTTTACTATCACATCCCTCAGGATGACTCCAGAATCTTTTAATTGTGGTCTCTGTGATGGAGCAAAGAGACACCACCCTGCTGCTGACCTGTTGGTGTGTGCGTGTGTGTGTGTCCAAAGATTTGGTGGGATTTGGTCTAATTTGAAGTTAACAACAGCATCCCTTATATTTTTGGCAGGTCTTCTTGGACTGGTATGAAAAGTTCCAGGAGCGTCTCAATAAGAAGGTCGTTTTGCTGACGGGGGAGACCAGCACTGACCTGAAGTTACTGGGCAAAGGCAACATCATCATCAGCACCCCCGAGAAATGGGACATCCTCTCGCGACGCTGGAAGCAGCGAAAGAACGTCCAGAACGTCAACCTCTTCATCGTGGATGAAGTGCATCTCATTGGGGGCGAAAATGGGGTGCGTCTGGGAGGGGAGGAGGATGCTACTTGTTCGAGGGATGCTCATCATCGTGCTGGTCCTGGTAGCGGAGCTGCTGTGGGGTGGATGGTTGCTCGTTTGTAATATGTGATTTGAGGTCAGCTCCCTGCCAGGAGGGGGCAGAGAGGGGGGATGAGTCTCTGGAGCCAAGGCCCCAGCGCCAGGCCCCGAGGGAATGGCCTCAAGCTGCCCAGGGCAGGGTCAGGCTGGCTCTGAGGAAGGATTTCTGTGCAGAAGGGGCTGTTGGGCGTTGGAATGGGCTGCCCAGGGCAGGGGGGAGTCCCCGGGATCCCTGGAGGGGTTGAAGAGTCGGGCTGAGCCAGCGCTGAGGGGTCTGGGGGAGTTGGGAACGGTCAGGGGGAGGGTCATGGTGGGGCTGGAGGAGCTTCAAGGGCTTTTCCAACCCAGATGGTTCTGGGATTCTGT